CCCCACTAAAGCGGAGGAAGCTTTCTTCCAGCTGCGCCTTGACAGCGAGCACATACAGTTACTCGGCATAGAAGAGAGCCCAGTAGAGCGAACCACGACGTGTCGAGCACCGACAAAGTCCAGCGAGGTCTGTCGAGCGTCTTCGAAATACACGGCCGTCTCATCCATGAGAACAGTCCTTTCTAAGTCGATGGAAGGTAGCTGAGCTTGTAGAAACACCATGTAGCGGACGGCTCGGTCCACAAGGGTCTCGTCGCCAAGGACCGTCAGGTTTGTCCGGCGGCGCAGCGATATCTCGAAGCGACGCATAAAGTTCGAGACCCAGTGATCGGATGCTGTAAATGGCGGCGATGCTTCTCGCCCTTCAGCTTCATCCGCGTAGAGAACGAGTGCCATATCGGCCAGCCAGCTGCGCGTTACCTTCTCCTTCTTGGTGCGCTTGGTCACAAATTCCTCATAGAGCAGCTCTTCCAGTGTCTCCGACAAGGGCTTGCGGCCTCCGCCAGCTACATGAGCTTGATGTGGTGCAGCAGCGCGAATTTTATCGCGCAGTCGCCACCAGCGGTGCACTGCACCACCATCGAGACTCCACCCCTGGGACCGAAAGTGCGCAACGGCTCGAGTGGGGACGCCTTCTCCCGCCGTCTCGATCCACTGAATCACCTCTTGCTTTCGGCCAATGCTCACAGCCTGCCGCTGCCCGCTCATTTTCCGCAATGAAGATGCCACTAGCGTGCAGCGGTGAGACTGACAAATATGACTGGACAGCGATCTGCGTCGTTCTATTCGGGAGGGGATTCAATTTTTTAAAGCCGGTCGATAGGTCAATTGAGGGCATTATTCGGGAGGGAGCTTTTATTCGGGCGCGTCCGTTATATACATGTATGATTCCACGTTGCCTCGAACAGCCGCCTTCTTTTACTACCGCCTTCCCTATAATCGTAAATAACCAATAAAATAGATAACCTTCAATAATGCATAGGAACAAGAATGAGCTACACTCTGTACATTCAATAACCCATAACCCGACACCGGAGCAAGAGGGTGGGTGGGTAACTCAGACCCACAAAACCTCCACTGCGAACCTTGGAGTCATGGATGCTGGTTCCAACGCCGCGAGAGCGTCCTTGGCAGGCTTCGTGTCGACATCTGTTCTGACTTCATCCGACGGGGTGTGTCATTAAGCTCTAGCTTAGTAGAAGACGTCGCACTATTATAAATTAATTTCATTTGCTCGTGTCTGTAGCTTTTCGGCGATAACGTAGAGGAAAAGCGTGTGTCGGAGGCACCTGCTCCGCGATCTGAAGACGCCGCTGGCTACAAACCACTGTACGAGCAACTGCAGGAGCGTAAAGAAAGGAAGGACAGCGAGTGGAAAGAAAAGAACAATCCCTTCGGTGTGTGGTTCGGTTGTTAATGGGTGGTAGGGCCTAAAACTAGTCTATCTAACCTTACAACTGCACAGCACCCCCAAAGGGTCTCGATGACGAGGAGTTCGAGTATATTCAGGACCTCGAGAGCAAGAAAGAGGACGTTGAGCGGCAGCGTCAAGCTCAGCACGAGGAGGATCTCGCCCAGTTCTGTAAGGACAACCGAATGGATAAGCTGCTCGTGGAATATGCTAAGAAGACCTGACGATGGCGTCATTGGGTTTTGTGTAGTGGTGGCTCGCGGCGCTCCTAGATCTGCTGCAGGTGCGCAGCTTACATCGCAGCATTTGCAGAAGTTCTCGGGGGAGAACGAGCTGAAGACCACGAGTAACAAGAAGACCTCGGTGGTGATGGTTAAAGCTAAAAGGAAGGCAGGAAAAGACAAGGTTGCTTCCAAGAGCACCGATTCTACTGAAAAGGCAAAAGAGGGGCCACAGAAGAAGAAACAGAAGGTGGACAAGTCGCTGGAGACTAAGTCTAATACAGCAGCACTTGGGCTTGCTGCGTACGGCAGCGAAAGTGACAGTGATGAGGCCGACACAAGCTAGTCCAGACCAGGCAAGGTGAATCAATTACAGGTCTTCTGTTCCATCTACTTAAATGTTGAATCGTTGCCGAAAAGAGACGGATGATTGACACCGGGCCTTAAAGATTTTGGCTGCAGTAGACGAGGTGCAGCTCCCGCACCGCCGGGTCCACGGAGCGGAGGAGAAGCTTCAACCAAAACTCTTCTGGTTGTGCGTGCTGCCATTCGCTTCGGTCTGTCGGGGGTCTGCATGATAACTGACGAAGTCGTTAAGGCTCGGCATAATGGCGGTGAGCGATTTTTCCCTGGTGCAGCTGGGCCTCCAACTTGGGCCGCAGCCCTCGACGATGATGATTCAGGTTGCCGTTTAGGAAAGTTAGAACGGTCCGACATCGCTCTGTGAAGAAGAGGTGCTGCTGGTCCTTTCGCGCTGGATTTCACAGCGGCGCGACGCAGCAAATCGGTCTTGCTGGGCTTTCGATCGCTCGACACCAAACCAGTTTTTGCCATTCCAGCCAGCTCTCGAACTCTCGTTTGATTAGAATTGGCCGCTGCA